AATGAGCACATAGAAATATAATTCATATTATATTATCTGTCACTAAAAGTGGGTTCTTCAACAAACTGAAGAAACACAATTTGAATAAAATCAGCTAATAATGCTAACATCTCCTGTGCCCAAAATAGTGGCATCATATATTAAAGACCACTATTAACTAGACAAAGAGAATCAAGAGAGCATAAGAGATGATTATAAGAGATATTGTTGCACATAATGCTAAAAATACAATTTGATCATACATCTATTTCCCCTAATATCAATCTTTATTTCCCTATCTACTGCTTTGGTATAAGTAAAAGTTTAAGTCTCAAAAGAAGCTGGTGCTCCTAGTATTTCCTCAAAAAATGTGGCAATTCTTTATTTTAAAAAAAGGCAATAAGCATTCAGGAATGATCAGTAAAACTGTCTCTTAAGACCATTTTTTTTTTTAGCTGAATATTGTTGTGACTGTTTCCATGGCTAACCCATGAACATGTTTTCTGCATAAGCTCAGTCAGCTAGTGGTCTTAATTAACTTTCAAATGGAGAACGCTGCGGTTTACCACTTATTAAATATCCACCACACCAAGTTAAAGCTTTACCCTTCCACACCTCACTAAGTCAAGACACCTCAAGAAAGCCACAATGCTGAATAACTGGAGATTTTCAAATATGCATCATGTGTAATTATCAGACTGAACACATAGGCTGAGAAGGGGAAACTTACTAAAGCCAAAGCCACTTTCATTTCCAGATGAAATAATATAACTTGTAAATTGAGGCAACAGCATGCAAACTTCAGAAGCAGTAGAATAAACTATACTAATTCATTCACAGGAATTCAACAAATATTTATTAAGTGCTTACTTTGCTTTTCAGATACTGAGTATTCCTCTAGATTACTCATGTCTAGGACTTTAGAGAAGATGATTAAGTGAAATTTAGAATATGATATGGAAGAAAACATACAATATTTATGATTTTTAAGCAATATACTCACTAGAAAAAGGAAGACAGTGTAAAATTACTCAGCAAGCTAATCTAGTCTTAGTACAAAATACAAGCAGACTAGCCAAGATCATTTCACCAGGCTTTTTATTCATGAGGGAGATGATGCAGTTTGAGATTCAATTGAGACAGAATTAGTTTTTCTGATTAGCTGGGTTGAGTGGTTAGGGTATAGTAATAATGATATCATTATTTCTTCTCTTGTACAATATTCAGACACACACACATACACATGCACACTCACATATCTATCTATATTTGGCTTGTCACTCTTCAACTAACATGTGTACATCACGTTGTAGACTGGCGGTGGGTAGAAAAAGCGAATCACCTCTTGTTGAAATTCCACGGTGTAGAAGATGGTCTTGAAATTTGAAGGAAGAAAAAAAAAATTCTTCTATAAAGAGAAAATGTGAAAAGTCCAAGGGAGAGCATAACTGAAAATATATATATAAATGCAAATTTTCCTAAACTTCGGCTTTGGATGGACTGGCATAAGTGAGAACTTCAACAGAGCAATAGAAAAAAATGACAGCTCAGAATTTCAAAAATTTAAGACAGCAGCAGGATTAGACACTTTGGGTTGTCTTCGCACACATTTCTTATGGGAGTTAATTCCATTTGACATGCAAGACCAAAGCAAGATTACAGAGGCATAGCCCCATGGCGAGGTGTATGCTGTAGCTAAAAGCTGGGATTTGAATAATTGTGCAGGCTTACTCCAAGAATCAGGAAAGAACAGAATGAATGGATTATTACAAGGAACTTTGTACATTTTTAACTGCTGAACTTAATAAAATACCTTCTATGTGAGAATAGTGTTATGGTCGCCTTCACTTACTGTAACTGAAGTTTGTGGTAGGATCTATCAAAAATGAGGGAATATCAGAAGCTAGTTTCAAAAAAAAAAAAAGAAAAAGAAAAGAACTTGTAATGAATAACTAGGCTAGGTTGTGCCCACATCATTTACAGGGAATCAACAAATTTAGAGAACTTGGGATTAACATATTCCACCCACACACACACACCCATCACAGGGAATTCATTTCCAGTGTGAGTTTGCAGAAAGTAGGCAGTAGAGTTCAGGGAGAGCAGGCCATAAAAATATGGATTTCTAGTTCACTATTTTAGCTTGTTAGGAAGGTCATTTATTACTACAAAATTACTAACACACACACACACACACACACACACACACACACTTCCCTTGGATTCTGTGGAAGGACTTGTCTGTAAAAGGCAGAAAGAGTAACAATTCTAAAGACTTCTCACTGCTTAATTAACTTCCAGTGAGAATTATTAAAATTCTTTATATAATTCCTATTTCATGCTCATTAAAGTGAAAGATATAAATGCGGGACAATGCAAGGTTCAGAGGAAGCTTAAAGAAAGAAGAGGTAGACTTAGAATAGCTGAGAATTATGAGACGCTGCCTATTAACAGCAGCCAAGTAGACCTTTCACTTTTAAAGTCACTGATTCCGATCTGAAATGATTTGATTTGATTTTCTCCCTTAAAACAGCTCCTCTCCTCCCTTCCTGAGAGCTCCTTTCTTACCCCTCCCAGTCTAGTGGGAAAGAGTAGACCCAGAAGAGGATGAAACAGCTCTGGGGCCATGTCACTGGGGCATTGCGCCCTCTACTGGGAAGCCAGCTTGCAGTCTCCTTGGGGAAAATCCCCCCAAAATCCTACCCCTAGGAAAGCAAAAATAAGTACTGAATTTCAGCAGTGAAACTATCTTCCTCCTTCCTGAAAGTAAAGATTAAAGGAAGGACATGAGAGGGTGCGAGTGCTTCATTAAACAAGACAGAACTCAACTGTGGCTTTCCTCGCCAAACATGTCTGACAACTTCAGCCTGCCATGTAAAATGGCAACAGGAATGATGAACACATTACAAATTTGTAGACCCTAAAATTAAACTCCACCTCATTTATTTCATATTTCAGCAGGGGTTGGGATGCCTGACACAGAGACACAGATCTTTCCTGATAAGCTCCGCGGCTTTCTTTTGGAGAGAGAATTTGAGCTATGTGTGAATGTTCTATGTCTTCTGGAAGCCCAAATTTGCTTCATTGTACTTAGGAGAGAGGAGGCATATGACAATACTCTGCAGAAAAAAAAATGAGAAATCATAGACAGGGAGAGAAAGAAATGTGTTACCACAGGAGAATGCAAAGCTAGTCTTAACCCCTAACTTCTCTGTTTCATTCAGATTCTTGCTACTAAAGACGGCTTTATAGGCCCGCTGCTTCAGTGTCACCTGAGAGGTATCAGGAACCCAGAAGCCACCCAGACCTCCTGAATCATAATCCACATTTTAAGAAGATTCCCAGTAATTCATGAGATCTACCACTGTGGACATCTGAAAAGCTAAATCATGAGAAAAACTGGAATACAGAATTTTACAAGTAGAAGGGAAACTAGTCACCACTTGCATCCTTGGATAAAGAAATCAAGGCCCAGAGAAGACTGTAGCTCATCACATATCTAAGAAAGAAATTTTACATAGGCCTCAGTTTTGTTTGCAATAAAAACCAACAGGGCTGTCAGAGCTTACTGTAGTTAGTGCTGTCACACACTATGAATCCGACAGAATGGGGCTCCAGCTTTGCAAGTGTAGTAGGACGCGATTTCCATGTGGTAAGGGCTCTCCCTGTCTTCTTCAAGTCAGTTCTGTACTACTGATGTGACTTGTCGAAATTCTACAGAAATTGACATAGAAATGAAATTCTGATATTCCTTCCATCCACAAAATGATTGATGAAACACATGGGGAAAATAAATTGAATTGTTTTATAATCTCCCAGGGAAATATAATTGCATTGTGAAACATTTCCATGAAATCCTAAAAGCTTTATATCATCTAGACAGTGACTTCTACTACTTGATCAATAATTATATTAATTATAGATAATTATTTTGATAGGATGGTATGACTTTGGAGTGCCACTTATTCTTGATTTGACGTATTGATCCAAGAGTGAAGACTTGGTTGGAGCCAGAGCTAGGCATGAAGTCTTGGGGAAGAAGGGCAAAAAGCCTTAAGATATTTATGCCCACATACTAATTTATGTCCTGGCCACCCATGTGATGTTCATTCACACAGTACGATGTGAAATTCAACTTTTCCAAGATCACCAGAATAGTGAATCTATTTATTATGCTTAACTCTTTCAGAATCTGAAGCAACCTGCCTTTGGATAACATGAAAGAGATTGTCTCAGTCACTTTCACACGACTGAAACATAATACCCGCATCCTACAACTGAACGGAGGCAAGCTGTATTTTGGCTCGTACTTTGTAGAGGTTTCTGTAGTCATCCAGCTTCAAGGTAGGACATGAGCATGGCAGAGAGGCATGGCAGAGGAAAAGCTGTTCACTTCATGGCATCCAGGAAACAAGAGCGAAGGAAGCAGGTGGGGAGGGAGATAATTCCATATCACACCCCCAGTGATCTCTCTTCAGTCCACATCCCATCTTCTAACAAGTCAGCCACAAGTCCCCATAATTTAGGCACTTTCCAAAAGCCCCACTTGTGAACACATGAAGCTTTGGGGGGACATAGAGATATGAAACATAACAGACACAAACCTGATATTCTTTGAACTTTTAAAATTCCAGGATATTCAATACATTCTTTATATTCTTTGTGTGTACACCAACTTTCAAACACATTTATTGCAACTTAGGCAGTGAGCTAAAGGAACTTGACTTGAAGTAAACAATGCTCAAAAGGTCTGTGTGACCAAACTCGTACATTTGCTATATTTTTTTGCAAATACTTCATTATGATGAATCTATTTGGGGACTAAATATGCAGCAGTTCACGTCGTAAGCACAGGCAAAACCTGAGACTTTGTACTTGCTAGAGACGCTCTCAATGAGTATAGTCTTCTCTTCTTCATAAAAGTATAAGTGAGCTTCAACAGAAAATAAAGAAGTGAAGCAGAGATGTACATTAAAAATAAGAATTCAAGGAGGGAAGGGGATTTAGCTCAGTAGTTCTGATGCCTGCCTCACAAACTCAAGGTTCCGAGTTCGATACCTGGTACAAAAAAATAAAAAAGAATTCAAGGAGTCATATAACAAGTATGCCAGATTTGAGATTTTTTTAAAGGTGACAGTCATTATATATTAACTTCCCTAATTTTACCACATTACTTAAGATAATTTGTAAACAAAGTGAGATAATATAATCAAACAAATCACAATGACGACAATGTAAATAAAATAATTTACAAATACACACTATTTCATCAGAATTTCCTTAAAATATTTCAAAACTAACTTTGTAATACAATGGTCTCTATGTAAGAGGTATAGATTTTCTCTGAATAAGATAAAAAGTTGTACATTTTATCACTAAAACTTGGGGTCACTGGCTTGAAACCTAAGCATGCCCCTTGTACTATATATGACTTGAACAAATTTCTTGCCCTCTCTGTGTCTCAGTTTCTGCATCTGTAGCATGTAAATGATAATAATATATACCAAATGGAGTTGTCATAGGATTTAGTGAATTAACATGCATGAGTTGTGCTAGGCACTCAATTTATAATGATTATTAGTAGTATGGCTCTTATAATTTATGTACACTGAGCTTATTAATGGCCATATTACAATTTATTAAACGATAGTATTCTATAAACTTTCAGAGGATCTGAAGGTTAAGTTTTAGTCTTCATTTTAAGAAAAAGCTTTCTTAAAAACATGTTGCTTTTGCAAACAACAAAAGGAGGGAATTCATGGGGACTTGAAAACAAACTTACTCATGTTCTTTGACTCATATTTGTTTGGCAAACAGACACACACACACACACACACACACACACACACACACAGAGGCACAGAACAGTAACACCTCACAACCCAGTGTCAACATTTCTCTCAGAAGGGATTTACCATAAAGAAAGCTAAATGTGACCCAGTACTCTAGTAGAGATTTTTACCATTCAGAGCAGAATAACCTGAGAACAAAATGATGCAGAAGGCAGCCCAAGGTTCCTTTGTCTTTCCCAGGGTAAAATCAATTCAGTTATTATCCACAGTTGGGCACAGAATGGCATATGAACAGCACGGCTTCAACCAGCAATCCCTCTCAGAGAGTGGGCTGCATGGGTAATATTCCACACCCTGATTTACTCCTCATTGTCAAGAGAGAAAGGGAAACAGCAATCTCTGGTAGGGAAATTCATTCTAAGGAACAATTAAGACACTAGAAAAGTCACGAAGAAAGAAAAATCAGGCTAAACTCTTTTAAAAAATCAAGCACTCTAGGCTGTCCACATCATCAGCGAGAGTCCAAGGCAGTGGGGCACTATTGCTAGGTCTCATATCTTCCTTTTTGCTCTTTTCTAGGGGGTATTGTTTAGCCATGTTTTCTATGTGTGAGAAGGAAATGAACCACACAGATGATCCTGCACATTGGAGTGAAACAGAAAAGCCTTCCTCAAGAAAGTAAGCAGATTTATGAATGTGGCATTGTGGAACCCATATAATATACCAACAATGAGTGAAAGCAAGAAAATGACTTGGTCTTTCTTAAAACTGCAACAATTAGGCAATTGAGCTAATAGCATCCCAGAAGATGAAAACAAGTTTTTTTCTTTGTATTAACAAAGGGACCGAGAAGACATATTTCAGCTGAGATAAAAGAAGGTAAACGATTCCTCCACAAAAGCAAAGCCAAGATTTCTCCAATGAGCTTCTTCCTAAAAGAGATAGAAGTAAAATATATGAAGCAAGATGACATAATGTGCTGTTGCCTAAATGCAGGCAATGATGGTGTCCTATTCTACAGACCAAGCTGTAAATAATTGAATGCAAGACAAAGCAAAAATATAGAAAAGGCCATTCAGAAAGAGAAGCATAAAAATTCAGTGTGTGTATCAGTACTGAGAAGGGTACAGCTCAGTAGAACTGATTAATAAGGAGAGCAATGAACAGAACAGAGTGGATTTGCAGAGATTAGGACATAGCAAGATTTATCCAGAAGACTGTACAAAGTTCTTATTGGCCTTGAATCTGAAATAATGTTAAAAAGAAAAAAAAATAACACCAACCTCTCATCATGAAAGAATCCTTGTGATCTCTTTTGGTATATCTTAGTCAACCAACTCATCTTTTCCCATGTGCCATTTAAAAGATAAAAATTGCAGTAATATGCAAATCATTCCCTATAACATCTCTCCTCAATATGGCCAAGAGTTGGAGGCAGGAACAGTACTGTGTATTTGATGGTATAGCATAACCACAGCAACAAAAGCTTTAAAAGTCTTTTCTTTTAAATAAGTAACATACGAATTTTGAACATGCTACAGTCAGGTTCCAAGGTAAACAGTTAAAAGAGTGTGAGTCAGAAATATATATAAGATGGCCAGAGGAGTGTCAAGAATTTGGGCATTTGAATTCTAAACTCTAAGAATTCCATGCTTGTTAAACTGTGAAGAACAACATCACTTCCTCCAGATTCTAGGCAACATTAGATCATTTTTTGAAGGGATACAAGGGAAACATAACAATAATAGAAACAAAAAGAAAAATAAAAAGACCAAGCCTAGAAGTGCCTCAGATACCCAAACAAATGGCAATGCTTAAAAAGCAGAAGAATACAGGCTATAATTTAAAAGTCCCATGGTTTGGGCCTGTTCAAAGCACCTTGTTTGGTGCATGGGCTTCTGCAGAACATGCCTGAGGAAGCAGTTTGGCACGGAACCCTTCCAGGCTGCAGGAGCTAGACTGCCAGAGCAAGTCATCCCATCCTCGGTTTTATTGGAGTTTAGAATTCATTTCTGTTCGCAATGGTCTGATTTGTTTTGTGGGAAGCTTGGAGACCTTGACATCAGGGGAGGTGTTTGCGTGTGCCCTTAGGGATGAACAGAGACAGAGTGGCTGGCTGCTCAATAAGAGAATGAAGAATTCTGTGACCTTTACTCAGTTGGATGTCTATCCTGGATCCAGAAGCCAAAGTTAGAGCAAGAGAAAGAAGCAAAAGACCTCTTACCCTACATTCTCAGGCCACTAGCTGCTCCTGGGAGTCACTGGTGACTAATTAAGTAGGTGAGACAGGAAAACAAAGAAATAGAAAGAGGAGCTCATAGTTTTAGGGATGTAAATGCAACCCCCAAAACAGGAAGTCTTGGCAAACATCATGTCTCAAACCTTTCACTTGTTGCATGAAGGAAGGAGAGAATACTTCCAAGCATTAGGCAATCCAAGATCAGCAAAACAGGGAAGAGAGGATTGCTGTGGCTATGGAAGAGAGTGCTACATACCTCTGGGAGCCTCAGACCCAGTCTGCTTCTTTCTTTCCTTTTGACTTCCTTGGTGAGCAGTTTCCCTGTAGTTTTTTGGAGAAAAAAAATTTAAAGAGTAAGAAAGAAAAACATATATACCCACATACACATGTGTGTGCATATTTACAAAAATAAAGACAAAAGACAAAATGTCTAAATTGCAGTTCAGTTCTCCAGCCTCACTTCTGGCTCACCAATGAATCTTCTTATATACAAAGCTGACTGGAGGGAGGGGTGGGATTGAATAACAAATTTATGTGATACAATCACATCATTTACAATCACATAATGGACCATATCCCAATTTTCAAAAGGCATAAAGTATCCTCATTAATACGATAAGTGCAGCAGTCAAATCAGCACTGTGATTTTATCAGGGTTTTTGACTGTACATGAATTAGAATGTAAAATGCATACAGAATTTTTAATGGAAGGCTTTAACATTCACTGAATATATTTCTTACTGTCATTTGCATCACATTAAAGTGAAATCCTACATAAAAGGATAAAGAGAATATGTCCTAAATTACAGTTTTCCACAGTTGTCATGTCCACACACAAAAAAATCTGATTCATAAGCTTGCATATGATCCTAAATCTGAAAAGACTACCCCAGCTCCCTATTTGTTTGTGGGTTTTATGTGGCTGTCAGAGCCGGGTAGAGCTCTATAAGGTCAGATTGTCAGGACAAAGCTGATAAAGATCATCGCAAGGGTAAGGGGATGTAGGGATGGAGGATGGCTGTATTCACTGTTACTACTCTAGCACATTATTAAGCACTGTGCCTGCACTTTTCATTGCATATCAGGCTACTAAAAAGTAATTCATGTTCCTTAGAGGTATTCTGTCGATTTTTTAAGAGAGCTTCAATGATCAATTTAGCTCACTTCAATAGAGTTTATGGATGTAGACTTAATGTCTTTTAGGCGCAGTTCTGTATATCTCACAACAAATGAGTATGTGTACATTGCTAGTCACACAAGATACTGTGTTAACACTGACTTTGTATCCAACACGTGCATATCTTCTTATGGGTTGAAGTAAGATCATGTGACAGAAGTTAGTTTCAAGGCAATGGCAACTAGGATAAGTATGCTTGGGAGCTTATATACACTGAGGCAAATAAAGAAACTGTCATTTCTCTTTAGCCTCACATCACACAGAGAGAAGTCGATGATTGGTATGAGGAAGTTGATAGTTGATGCAAAATCCTGGGAATCTGAGAAAGTGCATTTTGCATCTTAGAAGAGGCCAAAATTAAGTTAACAGTATAGACCAGGAATAGAGTACAACTTCTACATGCACACAGGCTACCTGTTTATTGCCTAGCAGACCTGGTCCTACGGGGGAACTTCTTCCCTGAATGACATATCTCTGCCATTGTTTTAGACTAGGAACAAAGAAAGCATGCAAGCATACAGCCAATAAAATAATATGCATGGAACGTGAGGTAAAATAATTCAAATTCACAGTGAGCCCAACTCACATATTTTAGTCTTAGAAAGAAACATTTAATGTAGGCACATGGAATGGACCCACATGAAATGGATGGGTCTCAAAATAGCTAGTCTACCTATTTTAATCATACTATCTTTAGTAATTTGCTTAATCTGCCAATCTGGTTAGTCTCCTTTGATATACGTAGATTGTATTTATCTTCTACCATTATTAGGAAAATGTATCAGTTTCTTTCCATATCTAGAGACAGTTTTGAGAATGTCTATAATAACTACAGATTTTACTCAAGGCCCTTAATCTATTTCTCTCTCTCTGTCTCTCTCCTTCCCTCCCCTTCCTTCCCTCCCTCACTCTCCCTCTCTTCCCCATCCCAACCTTTTCTGTTCATTTGTCATTCCTTCTGTTGTTCTTTCATTTTTCTTCTTTCTTCCATATTCCCTGTACTGAGTCAGGAATTAAATTTGGACAATAAAGTATTTTCAGTTTCAGATCCATTTTTAGCCACAATAAAATTATTCTCTTTATTAACTAAAATACCTGTCAAATGATAAGAATACTGTGAAAACTTTTATGGGTTGCAAAATTAGCAAAGTTTTCCTGACATTAATATTATTTAATTTATTCTCTCCCCAAATTTATGTACAGTAGTGTGGTAGGCTTCATAGTGTCCTGTAGTGGACAGTTCATGTATTGAAACTTGGTCTTTGCTGTTCATTGCCTGGGAAAGCATTAACAAGCCCTTTATCCTCTCCAAGGGACAGTTCGCTCTTTTATAAATTGGGAATAATATTTAATTCATTGACCTATGAGTATGAAATAGGATGGTGCATATAAAGTTTCTACTAGATCATTGAATAATGGTAACAGTCTATATAGGTTTAATCCATCACATAAGACATTTTACTTTGTTTTTTGTCAAAGACAAAGAGTTCCCAGACCTTTTATAAGAATCAAATGAGATGCTACGAAGCCCAATTTCACCCATGCGCAAATTCAGGTAAGTGCAGAAATTTAGGTAAAATAATTCAGATAAAACCAATTTTATCCTTCAACAGTATTAGGATATACCTTTAATTTTCCTTCTAGCACCAGCTGACTCCTTGAAGATGTTACTAAAATTCAAAAATTAAAAAGTATATCTGTTAAAAAAGAGAGACAATGTTCTCTATTGTTTAATTGGAATTAGCAAACAAAACTTTTCAAAAATCTTTTATTAAAATTCATTATTTTCAAATTTTATCAAGAACATGACTACAAGTTAATAATTTGTGCTGGTATTTTTTGACTTAAAAGTAAAAATAAGTATAGCACAGTACACATTTACCTAATTTCTAATCAGACAGAATATATTGTTTCTGTAAAAATATGGACTTGGGAACAATAGGAAGATGAATTAATATTTCCTCAAATGCCACATTTGTTTCATAATACTAGGTATGTCTGAAGCAAAACCTTTCCCTTTCAGATGAAACCAGTAATCTATTTCATTGAGTCAAATTCTTGCTGCAATCTTTCTTTTGCTCTTAAATGCATGATGTTTGTTTGCTTTATAGGGCCTTATTACTCATGCTTCATTGTTTTCACATTTTCTTCTCAAAGTAATAGTTCTACTATCTCACTGTGTACGAATGTGTTGAACGTAATGGCAAATACTTTTTTAAGACTGCCGGAACTTTTGACTTTACATTCACTTTTTTTTCCTCTTGCAGGCCACATTCAATTGATAATTCAGTCTTCAAATAAAGATACAATCTGATAGTTTATTAGGTTGTTACATGGTAAGCTTACAGATTTTTGTGCCTCAAAAAATTCCTGGTTCCACTGACATCATTAAGGCAATGTCAGCACAACTTTTGGTTCTCATCATTTCAGTTCTTGCTTTATTATAACTGTTAATAGTTAATAGTTGTAATAGTTGCAATGTCTATCAAAATCTGACAAATAAGATGTCATTAATGTTGTTTTCACCTGTCTTTGAGGTTTTATCTACAAAAAGTCAGGGCAGGGAGAAAAAAGATAGGTTAGATCTAGTTACATTAGTTATGTAACTAATTTAAGTGAACTCAGATTTGCATTTCTGCTTTATAATTTAATTGTTCAAACTTATTCTTTTCTAAACAAAACTTATCATATATAAGTATTCAAAGTCATACAGCTAATATAGGAAGAAACACAGGCTTATCATTTTCTATTAAGCAATTTAAAGAAATAAAAATGTTAAGAATCAAAACTGAGGCATGGTCAAAATATATGGTGAATGTTTAATTTTTTTAAAAAATTTTATAACTGTAAAAGACATATTGCCATTAACCCTTTCAAAATTGACATCCTTAATTAAAAAACATTTATCCCATCATTCTTGCCACTTTTTTCTTTCTTTTTTTAAACTTATTGAGTTTATCGTACTTTTTAGGTGTACAGTACAGTTACACTCATCATTGGGATCTTGTACCTTTACCTGACAGATATTGGTTCACATTTTTTTTTCCCTATACTCCTGCCTTCCCCTCACCCCTTCCCTATCCCCTATTTACGAAGACTTTGTTTCCATTTTTCACTTTTCTCATATTTTTTTCTTGTCCCTTATTTCCTTTCCTCTACCCTTCCAACTTCTCCTACACCTCTGGCCCTTTTCTTGCCACTTTTTGAAGCAACTCTAGAAGTCCTTTTTCACGAATATCTTTACAACAGTCACAAAAATAGGGCAGCTGCTGCTACTGAGTGCCGTTTAACAGAAAGACAAGCCAGTACACACCCTCACAGTGTGCCCTCATTGACCTTCTTCACTAGACCTGGCATTGTGCAACATCGAGCTCTGCCCCCAAATCACACAGTTGTGGATAGCACAGGTAAAGACATTCATGAAAGAGAAGTTCCAGAGCTGTCTCAGAAATGGCAGGAAGAATAGATAAGTAGATTTCAAGTGAGAAGTATTTTGAGGGAAATTAATGGCAACATGGCTGCTACTCTAATAAATTTTTTAAAATTTAAACATTTATATTTTATCATATTTTTATATATGTCACTTTTTTCATGTGCAGCTTTATTTCAATAACTTCCTATAACAGTCGTACAATGATAAGTAATTTGGGTTCTCACTGAGCTTCAAATTCTTTCAAACCTTTGACTTCTCTGACTATACTACACTATAAAGAAGACTTCCTGAATATATGTATCTCTCTTTCTTTTCCAGGGGTTAGGTGGATTTTTTACATCCCTTTAATCTAACAATCTATTGATCTTGATCCATTTCACTTGGTTTACTCTAATGCTTTAATCACCCACTGGGAAACTATTACTCAATAAAATCCTTTGTATTTCATATATTACATTATGATCTCCTTTCTTATTTTTTACCACTGGTGTATTTTCTTCTTGAATTCTTTAATTTTTGATAAACTATGCATTATGAGAAGAATTTATCCCATTGCGTCCACTATGGACCAAGGAGCAAATACGCCCACTGATGTCTTCTACAGGTTCCGAGAAAAGAGTTTTCTTTTGGCTAGGCTTCTGCCAGAAGACTTGGCACATAACTTTCCCCTTTGCCTAGTGCATTTCAGAGGAAGTTTGAGATGCCTCACAG